CCTGGGGAGGACAGGGTTTGGGGAAAGAGGGAGTTTGTGGGGCTCTAATGCCATAAAAGGAGCTGTGGTGGCTCAAGTGGTTAAGACGCTGAACTGCAGGCTGTGGAAGGTCAGTAGTTCAGCCGTTTGAGACCCGGGTGCCGCATGACGGAGTGAGCTCCCATCTCTAGTTCCAGCTCCTGCCAACCTAGCAGTTCGAAAGCAAGAAATTGCAAGTAGATAAATAGGTACCACTTCGGTGGGAAGGGAACAGCGTTCCGTGCGCCTTGGTGTTTAGTCATGCCGGCCACATGACCACGGAAACATCTTCGGACAGTGCTGACTCTTCGGTTGGAAACGGAGATGAGCACCGCAACCCTAAAGTCGGTCTCGACTGGCTTTCGAGCAAAGGAACCTTTACCTTTTAATGCCATAAAGTCCACACTCCAAAGTGCCATTTCCTCTGGGGAGCTGTGTCCTACCCTTCACGATCAATGCCAAGAGTACGTGAAAACCTCCCAGACACACAACATAGATTCATCTTTACACATACAACGCTCTCCCCCAGCCGCAGGTTCAGTGGGCACATGTGTACAGATGCGCAGCCTCACTCTTATGTATAGATACCAGGCAGTGTTCCCTCTAAGCTGAATTAGTGTGAGCTCGCTCATAGTTTTTTAGCCTACGGCTCACACATTTTTTGTCTTAGCTTAGAAAGGATGGCTCCAGAGCAAACTAATTTCTGCAGTAGCCCACTGGCTCGCTCACAACTTTAATGCCCATAAGCTCACAAAGCAGAATTTCTGCTTACAAGACTCCACAGCTTAGAGGGAGCATTGATACCAGGATAAATGCACAGGGTTGTGCATTGTTTATTTATTTAGGAAATTTGTACGCCGCCTCTCCAGGAACTTGTCCAAGGCGGCTTACGAAATAGAAACAATTAAAAAAAAAATTAAGAGGATCCCGATTAAAACCCAGCATGGGAAAAAAAACCCAGCCCAACAGAACATAAAGACAGGCAGCGGCATACATTCTAAAACACCCTCACCTCTACTGCGGAATCCCAGACCCCATGCCACTGATTTCCTTTGCAAAGGATCGAAATCTCACATACATGCAGGGGCGTCACCACATGCACCAAGGTCCGCTCCCGCTTATCCACGCACACCAATCCGATGCGCACCATGCTCTTTGTTAGCACATATCCCCGTGCGTTAATATATGTGCAGCCATGTAAATGGCTAGAGAACCTTGATTTTCATACACACCGGATCGTCAAACCTTGTTACGGCTCAGCAACCGGGAGAGGCTGACGTAGCCCCCGCCCCAAATCACCCCCACTCATGACTCCTCTCATGCTGTATCCAGTGTTCCCTCTAAGCTGAGTCAGTGTGAGCTGGCTCACCGTTTTTTAGCCTCCGGCTCACACGTTTTTGTCTTAGCTCAGGAAGGGGGGCTCCAGAGCAAACTAATTGATGCAGCAGCCAAATCACTCGCTCACAGCTTTAAGGCCAGGAGCTCGCATAGTAGAATCCTTGCTCATAGGACTCCACGGCTTAGAGGGAACACTGGCTGTATCCCGGCCCCAAGATGCTGGTGCGGGGTGGGTAGGTGGGAGATGAGCGCGGGGCGAGGCGCAAACCTGGCCTTACCTGACGCCAGCACCGATGGGGGGGTTCTAAGCAGGGAGCTTAGCCAGAATCCCTTGTTATAAACCCCCCAATCCCCCGCCCCCTCCCTCTGGCCGGCCTCATATGGACACACAGAGCCAATCTCCCCCCCC